AGATACCCGGCCGGGTGGGGTAGTGTACCCGGTCAGGCGTAAACGGTTCACCGAGCCAGAATGTTTTTGCTGGCTTGCCCGGCCGGGTCTGGAAGTCTACCCGGTTGGGTGAAAAATTTATTCTTGTTTTGCTCATGCCTCGCCCGGGTGATTGCCCGGGTGTTTTGTTTTTAGAAGTAACCTGACCGGGTTAGGGTTTATACCCGGCCAGGTCCAATCCCAGTCCATTTTTTTTAAATGTGTAAAAATAAAACAAAACAAGTAAACGTACCTTGCTTGGGTTGCCTCCCAAGAAGCGCCTTTAGGTAACGTCGCGGCACGACGCCATCATTGTGTTCAGTCATTCAAACTGGGATCATGATAGTTTATCTTCGCCACATTTTCACTCCTAGGACTTCCATAGGAATGCTAGATTTTCTGACCCTTCACTTTGAAAATCTTTCCAGGATCAAATATCCAGATTTTCATTGATTCATGTGGTGAGAGTGAGGGAAAGAAATTACCATTTAGCATGGTCAATGGAAAGTGTTTTGATCTTGGTGGCATGAGAGGGGGTATCAAATGTTTACTTAACTCCACTGTCATTTCTTGCATATTGGTGCATGAAAAGAAACCCAAATGATATTCTCTCGGTTTATTTGCAACCGCGAAAAGTACATTTGAATTATCCTCACATTTGCTGATGATTTCATCTTCGTCCTTCTCTACCCTTTCTGTTTCCCTTAGAGCATCAAGAAATGGTGGCATGTTCTCAGGAATGGCCGGTGATGGAGTTGAGGTTTGAAGTTTCTCCTCCTATGGTTGAGCTCCCTCCGTAAGCTCCTCTTCTTCTTCCTCCTCGCCAATGTGGTTCACAATGTTTGGCATTTGTTTCAATTGATTCTCCAAGTTCAGTTCTTTGAGCATTGTTTCTTGCGGGTATTGCGACATATCTTGTTGCATTTTTGTCACATTGATAGTGAGAGCTCGGATCATGTCTTCAGTGGACATGCTGGAATAAGAACTTGAGTATGAGTTATATGTGTTGGAGAATGAATCATACCTCTCTTGGAAAACAACATCATCACTCTGTTCAAAGTATTCTTGTTGAAGCTTGGGGCAAAAATCCGTAAGATGCCTTTGTGACATGCAAATGTTGCAGGCCTTGGTATCTTGAACGTTTGAGCATAAGAGAAACTCCTTTACTAAAAATGTTAAGCTAGAAATTTGACTCTCTAGCGATGATGTGTTGGTATCCATTTACTCATATAAGCTCAGAAAATAGAAGAGCAAGATTTTTTTTTTATTATTTTTTTTTGTTTTTGATTTTTCTTGAAACAAAATAAAAAGAAAAATAATTGCCTTTCCCCGGCAACGGCGCCAAATTTGACGAGCACTTTGTCACGGTGCGTCAAAATAAATCGATACTAGCACTTATACGTAGTATAGGTGAAGTAGAGTTCGTATCCACAGGGAAATGAATGATTTTCTTTTTGTGAAACTAGTAATTAAAAGGGGGGTTTTGGTTTTGAGTGATTTAATTCAATTAAGAAACTAAGATGAACAACCTATATGTGTTTAATTCAAAAATAAAAGGGACTTGGCTTTGCTACTTTCCACTTGTTGATATATTTTAGTCGATCCTTGTTATATCTATAACTTATCCCCTCTCGAATACTCAATCGAGGAGTATCTCCAATTCATCGAGGGTAGTTATTAACAACGACCGTTCATTAATAACCCTTACTATTAATCAAATATAGAACAACGTTGTATACCGATATAATAGTAGCATTCAGTCTTTTTAACTCCTTGATGAAATCAATTGAGATTGATAACCTTAACACAACGGTTTCGGTTTAACCAACAAAATTGATCCCTCTTAAGTCTATTAACCACGACCGTGCATTAATAAACCGAAGTTACTTACTTGTGAAACCACCAACGATTAACCATCGGTTCGTTGATCGTTTCTAGTAGTAATTAATGTTGGAACGTTAACTAATCGTCACTTAGCAACCCTCCAACATTAATATAGAATGAGATTAAGGGAAGAATTAATAATCAAGAGAAGAAGTTAAGAAAATAACTCACAACTTTAATAATCAACAAGCTTCAAGAGCAAAACCAAGAATGGAAGTTTAGCTCCTCATTTGGAGACTAAACATGGCTAGAAAAATATAAAGAAATGCTATTCTAAACTGAGCTAAAGAGAATGAAAGAAGGGATTCTTTTTAGAGAAGAAAAAGTGTGCTATTTATAGGTGTTTTTCAACACCTTGGGCCGGGTACCCGACCGGGTATAGTACTTACCCGACCAGGTTCAGTCAAAATCAGATAATCCGCCACGTTCTGATGATCTTCGCACGTCGTTTTGTCCCGGGTCACATCTGACCCGACCGGGTCAAGTAGGGGACCCGACCGGGTCCAGTGACTTTCTTGGCAATTTCGTCTGTTAAATCATACCCGACCGGGTGGGGGTTTCTACCCGGTCGGGTTTTACTCCTGGGCAGTCAAATTTCTTGTTTTCTTCTCTTCAAAGTCTTCATTTCCAACACCACAAATCATAACTATACTTTACAACTTATAAATAAAGACTAAAATACAATTACAACTGAAATCACATAAATGTTTACAAACTAAATAAAACGTCAAACAATTAACATAAATCAAACATAAAAACATGTAATTATGCACTACTAATTAGTGTGCATCAAGTAACATAGATTATTTAATGAGATTAATTGCTATAATAATCCAAGATCAAAATATGAATTCCGTTTATTTAAGATTATTTGAAAAGTATATGTAATAGAAGTCAGTGCAGGACAGAGAAAAAATGGATTATTTGAAGATGATGATTGAGAGCCATAAATGAATTTTGAGATTATTTAAAAATTAATTACATAACAATATTTAAATGATAGAAATCATAGAAAAAATGATTATTATAGATCATGAATGGAGATGTTCTTACAACAATAATGCTAATCATGACAAGCTACTTAGTTATATACACGAAAAAAGAATGACACCCTATCTCCTCATCGCAGTTGCCGGGATTCGAACCCGGGACATAACCCTTGTGGCACTCCCTTGCTACTAGTTGAACTACGCTCACCGGTTACTTAGTTATATACACATAATTGTAATACGGAGTATTAATTATGAATGATGGTAATATGTATTAACATGGTAATGATATAAAATAATTTCACACGAAGATCCGAGAAACAAGTTAAAATGATGATGCATATGGAGAGTTGGAAATGGTACTTCCGCCGTCCTACTAAGAATGAAAAAATTTGGTTCATGATGTTTGACCGACGATAAAACAAATAGATCCATGTCCGCTCTTAAATTATTTTTAGGAAACTATATTAAACAGAAATTACATAAAATACGAGTAAAACTATGTCAAAAAATAAAAAATAGGACATTTTATGTTTTTATTCCAAACCAGGACCATATTACTCCTATTGGAAGCATACCTATTTTTTCATTCCATTCTTACCCCTACTTTTAATATGAGTTTTAAGGTAGTCAAAAGTCATAATTAAATGTTTTAATTCATAATAAATTAATAAAAAATAATAAAAAATTAATAAAATACTTATAAAAGAAAAAATTAGAAAATATTACCTCCAACCGGTGCAGGGAGGCAGTACAGGCTAACCATTGCTGTACATTTTAATTTTGCTCTAAATGCTTGTGTGGCTAGTCAAGTTATGAGGTAACAAGAGCATCTTCAATCCTACAATGTGCACTGTGCACATGTGGCATGCGAGATCGCCACATAAATATCAGCAAATAAATCATCCCTCTCTTTATTTGAACGATTTTGTATAATTTTGATAAGTTTTTTTCTGCAACGTCAACCACTATGTCATGATCTAGACAGTCTTCTTGATGTTGTGGGGAAAGACTTAACAATTTTATAAAATCATTTAAATAAAGAGGGATGTAATTTATTTTTTAATATTTATGTAACTATCTCACATGTACTGTGAATCATAACAATACATTAAAAATGCTCTATGTTAGTTCAGTTGGTCTTTCATACTTCATCCACAAACCATGAATCGAACCGCTTGTGGTTTGATCAGTTTTCGTGTTTTTTGATTGTTTCAGTTTGATTTTTGATAATTCGATTTTGATGAATTTGTTTGTCAATTTCAGTTCATGAATCTTTTTGTTCAACTCTAAATTTCATTTGGTATAATAATTTTAAATGGACAAAATGCTTACACATTTGCATTTTCGACCTTCGTTTTTGCACGAGTGGTTCTCCCATCACACGGAAAATGTGAAAATGTTGATAAACAAAGAAGATAATAATAAGATTGGACACGGACATGCCATTGGTTAAAAGCCTATTCCGGATGATAAGATATAACCCCACACAAAATCCACTCCATTGCATATGTGACCAGATGCCCATTGAGGCCTATAATTGTTTGAATAATAGAGCATCTTGAGTATCTCCCCCATCTCATTTATTTCGCACAAATAATTACTCCGTATATAATAATTAAATTAAATAAAATTGGAATTACTTATTAGCTGAATTAGTTGAAATTATTGTAGAAGAACATTTTTAGTTGTTTTATGTTTAACCTTTTCTATATTTTAATAATAAAAATATTTTAAATATTTTTTTTTCGTAATACATTGATTCAGTCAATTCAACTAATTCATTCAGAATTATAACATTAACAGATTCATCTATTTCAATTAATTTTAGCGTAACAAACGGACTCTTAATGTTTTTAATTTATTTTAATTTGTATAATTACACTTAATGGTGATAACTCTCTATTTTGTTAGTTCATTTTTGTGAAACTGTCAACAAGTTGAGACTATTTGAGTATAATTTTTTAAATTTGAGATTATTCAGCGCTAAACTTTAAACTTTTTTAGAAGAGTAATTAGTTATGTTAACAAATTATATTTTATGTAAGTGTATACTAGTAATATTTAATCCTAGCTATTTTCCCAAAAAAAAAATCCTACCTATTTAAACTGAACTAAATATATGATCCTAATTTGTTCCTGGTACTAATTTAGAAGAGTGAACTCCGCTACTGAGAGAGTGAGTGTAACGTCCCTCCCTGCTCTTCCTCTCTCGCTAGTCAAATGGAGTCTCGCGTCCTCTCAGGCGTCACCACCACCGCACGCGGCGTTCCGCTTCTGCGGAAGTCACTCGCAGCACCGAGGTGCACCGCCTTAAGCTTCCCCGCTGCAAATTCAACCGTGGCTTGCAGCGTCGAGGCCGGAAAATTGGTATGGGGACGGCCGTTCAAGCTGGCTACTCTGCTCGAGTCTTCTCCGGCGAGCTCAATTATGCCGGTGATGAGAAGGGAGATTCTCCCTCCATGTCCTGCCACAGCCAGTGATTCGGGGTAAGTTCTTTATCCATGTTATGTAATCCCATTTACCGACCCGAAATCGTAGGCTCTTCCTGACCCGTGGTTTTAGCAGGGATGCTAAGGTCGGTCCCGTCGGGTTCGTGCAGAAATACCCGACGCTTGTGACGGGGTTCTTCTTCTTCATGTGGTATGTTCCTGAGCTCCCCCGTTAATTAATTAATTAAACCGCCGGCTTTAAGTATCGAAAGTTACTAAATTGACCCCGTCATCTGCAGGTATTTCCTGAATGTGATCTTCAACATTATCAACAAGACGATCTACAATTACTTCCCTTATCCTTAGTGAGTAAATCTTTATCTTCATTAGTTTAAATTATTATTGTTCTTTATTTACTTTTTTTGAGCTTATGATAGATAGACAAGTATGGGTTGGCTGCAGTTTTGTGTCTGTTGTACACTTGGCTGTTGGAGTGGTGTATTGCTTGGTGAGCTGGTCTGTAGGCCTACCTAAGAGAGCTGTAAGTTGTCTGTTTCAACTCAAATATCAGTTAAAAGAAATGAATGAAACAGAACACTCAAAACCTGGATAAATAGGGAATTCAACTCATACACCATTCAACTCAAGCTTGGATTTAAATCTTGGTAAATCAGCAAACTTGGATAACTGTTAAACCATTCCTTTTTTCTGTTTTATTCTAATGATCTTTCTATAGTGATGTTTTTTAAATAAAGTACCAAAGAAACCTTGAGGCCTATTTCATCTTATGATCTTATCATACAAAGTTACGCAGTCATAGTTTATGTACTAAACTCAGACTCAAACCCAGTAAAGAAGTGAATGCATACCTCTCAGCCTAAGAGGGGCAGGATAAGTGAATCCAGACCTGCCCTCAATTGGGTACCCCAAACCATCAGTTGGGTTTACACCTTGAAAATCATCATCTACCAGTCTTTGAAACTACTCCGTATATTACAGTGGTTTTGATAGTTATTTCATACAGAGTAGTATATTAAGGATGTCTTATTCATGGTCAGTAAGATGTACGGTTTTGCTCATATTTATAATACATAAGTACTCCTAATTGTGCATTTGTATACGTAGTACTACCTCCGTTCTTAAATAAGTGCAACATGTGAAATTTTACACTATTCACATGTTCTACTTTGACTACATTTTATTTATTGATGTATTAATATATTTTTTTGAAAAATATATTATTAAATTTGTCTCATTGTAAATTTTCAAATACTAATTTTTTTAAATTTTTTACTAATAGAGAATTATATATATTAATGGTCAAAGTTGTGTCTCGGCAAGTGTGAAATGTTGACTGTTGCACTTATTTAAGAACGGAGGAAGTATGTTTTAATCTTATTTTGAGCAACTTATTTACTTACTCCATATATATTACACGAAACAGAAGTTGTTAACTGATGTTGGGTCACTTGGGAATTTATTGACTATTGTCTTAATTTACTAATAATTATTCTTGAGAATTAATATCTTGTAGCCGATCGATTCGAAAGTCCTAAAGTTGCTTGTCCCGGTAGCTGTTTGTCACGCACTAGGCCATGTGACTAGCAATGTTTCATTTGCTGCTGTTGCTGTCTCGTTCACCCACACAATCAAAGGTGATATTTATAAGAAGGAACCATTCCTCTGCTGTAGAATTTGTTTGCATTTGTTGAATAATAATCATAATCATAATAATAGTAACATCAATCTATTATTATATCAATTCTGCTGCAGCTCTAGAGCCTTTCTTTAATGCTGCTGCCTCTCAGTTTATACTTGGACAACAAATACCCTTGACATTATGGCTCTCACTCGCCCCTGTTGTTCTTGGTTAGCTCCTCATACCCTTCCCATTTTTTGGTGTTTTTGTTAATCATAAAAATAGTGATTTTATCATCTTATTGTCATACTGGATTCAGGCGTGTCGGTGGCTTCACTGACTGAGCTCTCTTTCAACTGGACCGGATTCATCAGTGCCATGATTTCAAACATCTCTTTCACATATAGGAGTATCTACTCCAAAAAAGCTATGGTTCGCAATCTTAATGTTCATCGTATTACTTTTCAAATGCATCTATCATATAAAAAAAGTGCATCTATCATATTTAATGGGCTTTTCCTATATTCCGATCGTATTACTAAAATAGATATCATGAATGAATATGTCACATAGTTACTACAGTCATAACAGAAGTACAATCATAGTAAATGCAGTGTAAAACTGAACATTACTATGGTCACCATAAACACTCCTAAAATACCAGCATGGTCACTGTGTATTAAAAGTCAGTTTTTGTCCATGATTTTTATTGTGGTCATACGTTTAGCATTGTTTCTGCATTAATTTCACATCATGTTATTTTGTTTGCAGACTGATATGGATAGCACTAATGTATATGCCTACATATCCATCATTGCCCTCATTGTCTGTATCCCGCCGGCATTAATTGTGAGTGAAAAATATACTAATTCCATTTTAAAAAGCTGTTTTTTTCAAATCTGCTGCTTTTTAACCCTTTTTGGGTTTCAACTATAACACAGTTCGAGGGACCTCAGTTAATGAAGCATGGGTTTAATGACGCAATCGCTAAAGTGGGCTTGACAAAATTTCTATCAGATCTTTTCTGGGTGGGAATGTTTTACCACTTGTACAATCAGGTATTAAACCACTTGTTTGAAAAGGCATTTTTATGGCGTGAAAGTGTTAAAAGCTTACTGTTATTTATTTTCCTCCGTTTGCAGATAGCCACGAACACCCTTGAGAGGGTAGCGCCTCTCACCCATGCTGTTGGGAATGTGCTCAAACGTGTTTTCGTCATCGGATTCTCCATCATTATCTTTGGTAAATAATAATATGACTTTTCTCATCTGTACTGAATCTGTTTAGTATTGTTGTTAAACGAAAACGATATAAGATTTCTATTTTCTTGTTTATCTGCAGGTAATAAGATTTCAACTCAGACTGGTATCGGAACCTGTATTGCAATTGCTGGAGTTGCACTCTATTCCTTCATTAAGGCCAAAATGGAAGAAGAAAAACGGGTAAAAGATCAAACTTCATGTACCATACTGCAAATTATCAATTTTCAATCACTAAAAGGGAAATACACTTTGGATTAAGTGTGATTTTTAACCATGTGAGCTGCATACCGGTCAAAGTATTCGAGTTTAAGCATGGCAAGTTACTACCCCAGTTTTATTTACAAGGCTTCATTTGGAACTTGATAAGGAAAGAAAACAGGGCATAATACTGGGTTAACTGTGGAAGGAATAAAAATGTGGTGATGGGCAGCCATTGTTGTCACATATACACTAAGAAATCTAAACGTTAAACGTTTGTAAGCTATAAAAAACAAAAACCATATTTCATCATCCTTTTGTATTTTTTTATCTAAAAACATGAATTTTCCGTGATCTGCATTTATCAACACTGCAATAATTTTAGCACTGGAATTGCTAACATGGGTAACCGTTTTCTTTTATTGGAATTTTGTGCAGAAATTGAAAGCTGCCTGAGATGGTAGAGAGCATGAAAAAGATTGTGATAGTGATTTATTTTAAGAATTTCCCATCCAATGAAAAGTTAAAAAGAAGCTAAAACAATAATCGAGTATATTCATTGTAATTGACTAATTGTGTAGGCAGGCCTTTCACTTGACTATTTTCTTTGAAGCAAACACAACTTTGTAATACTGAACCATATATATCCCATGGTTGAAATCGTGTGCAGTGTGCTGTAGATTATATTTAGTCACGGAAGTATCAATGTTTGCTTCCTAGAGAAACCACAATGTAGCTGAGTTCTATAGGGTAAAGGCAACGGTTTTGGGATACCAGAAGAACAAAACATCTTTTGAGAACGAAAAATACTTTCACATAGGGATGGACTCGGGCCGGGTGGCCCGACCCGGAACCGGCCCGGGACCGGCACTGTTCCGGCCCGACCCGGTGGCCCGGTCAGTGACCGGTCCGGGTAGGCCCGGCCCGTGGGTTTTCCGGTCCGGGCTCGGGTCACCCAAAACAAGGCCCGACCCGGCCGGGCCCGGCCCCGGTTCGGGCCAATTTTTTTTTTTTTTTTTTTTTCAATTTTTTTAACTTTTCGGGTTGGGCTGGGTATTTTGGGCCATTTGGGGTGGTTTGGGGGGTTGGGGGTGGGAGGGGGGCTAATTAGGAAGAGGAAAACAAAACAAAAAAATATATAATGGGCCTGGCCCGGCCCGGACCGGACCCGGTGGTTACCCGGGCCGGTCCCGGGTCCACCATTTCTGACCCGCCGGCCCGCCCGGGCCTAGGCCCGCCCCGGACCCGGCCCGAACCCGAGTCCAACCCTACTTTCACAACTCAGGTAAACAAAGGCCTAGAAGAAAAAAAATGGTGGGTCTTCCAGATCTTTGCAAGGGGTGTGGGCTACCAAGGAAGAGACCAGGGGAGCCACCCCCCAACTTTTATTATTATTTTATAAATGAAAAATAAAATTGGTCCCTCCAAAAAAATATTTTAGCCCCCAAAGTATAAATAAATGTAATATTGGCCTTTCCAAATTTTTATTGGGTATTTACTAAGGGTGGAAAATGAACTAAATAGAGAACTAGAAGTTAAAAGTTAAAAGAGGTGATGTTAAAAGTTAAAAGTCCATTTTCTAAAACTAGAAAGGCGAAGTGATATGTACTCCAATGGTCTATAATATGATTATAAAAAGCTATATAATAATCTGTATAAAAATAGAAGAGGACTGCCGGAATTCCGATCCCGCAATCCTTAAATTATTGTTAGAGATAGTTGCATTCCTTGATTTTTCTAAAAGAGTATTTTATTCCATTCCCTATTGATTATAAATTAAAACTAGGGGTGGATTCGGTTCGGGCCACTTGGCCCGTGACCCGGCCCGGCCCGCTACTGTGCGGGCCCGGGACCGGCCCGGTCTGGTGGTCCGGGACCGGGTGTAGACCTGAACCGGTGGGAATGAGCGGGGCGGGCACGGTTCCGGAAAAATGTGACCTGGCCGGGTCGGGTCGGGTCCGGGTCCAACGGTCCTATTTTTTTTTTTAAAAAAAATGTTAAATACTTACTAGCCGTTATGGCCTTGGGGGGTGGGCTGGGGACAACCCAAACGGCTATATAGCCGTTGGGTGGGGTGCAGGGGGGGTCCGGGGGGGTTGGGTGGTGGGGGTGGGGGTAAAAAAACCTATAAATACTCCTAATCTTAAACATTTTTTCATATCTCTTCTACAATTCTTCCTAAATCCTATTCTTAACTCTCTACTCTCTAATTCTCTTATTCTCCAATATATTATATTTATTATTTATAGTTTATATTAATTATCTACTTATAATTTATAAATACATACATTATAGTATTATATTACTTATATTTGTTATCTAATTATATATTACTTATATATTTATTATATCTATTAATATAGTTGGAATTATATCTAATTAATTTGAAGTCATTCTATTACTCCCATCCGAAAGACCGAAAGTCCGAAAGAGGTACGAAATTATTCTATTATTTACACTTGTTTAATTTTGTATTAACGTTACTTGAAAAAAAACTAGTTAATTAGGTTGTACAATTTGCTATAACTCGAATTAATAGTTAGATTAATAGTTAATTACTTTGTTACAGTTTTTTATTAATTGCTACATTTTACTCTAGTTTAAAAAACTAGTTGTAATTCTAGTTATAGTTAAAGTGTATTAATTTCATTGTTAGTAAAAAAAACAGGTTGTACACAAAACTAGTTAATTCACTAGTTAATTTGCTATAACTCGAATTAATAGTTAGATTAATAGTTAATTACTTTTTTACAAATTTTTATTAATTGCTACATTTGACTCTAGTTTAAAAAAATAGGTTGTACACAAAACCAGTTAATTCACTAGTTAATTACTTAATTTGCTATAACTCGAATTAATAGTTAGATAAATAGTTAATTACTTTTTACAATTTTTTATTAATTGCTACATTTGACTCTAGTTTAAAAAAATAGGTTGTACAAAAAACTAGTTAATTCACTAGTTAATTTGCTATAACTCGAATTAATAGTTAGATAAATAGTTAATTACTTTTTTACATTTTTTTATTAATTGCTACATTTGACTCTAGTTTAAAAAAATAGGTTGTACACAAAACTAGTTAATTCAATGCCGGTTTCAACGGTTGCCGTGGAACAAGAATTTAGTTCGCCCGACAATGTCCTAACGCAAACCAGAACGAGGTTGAGCGCAGAATCTCTTGAGATGCTTATATGCTACCACGATTGGTTGAAAGCAGCCCGTAGAGCTCAAGAAATTGACATCACCCCATCCCAACACTTTATGGATGAATCTACAACCGAGGGTGGCTCTACCTATGCCGGAGATTCCGATTGATTGATATTTCATGTTTTAATTTTACCTTCAATTCTCAATTGTAGTTCCTATTTAATTTTCAAATGTAGTTCCTATTTCATTTCAAATAAATGCACTTGAAGTTTGTTTTTAATACTTGTATAAAACTATAAAATATAAAATATAAATTATAAAAATAAAAAAAAATCTTTAACCGACCCGGCCCGGCCCGGCCCGGCGGGTGGCCCGACCCGTGACCCGGGCGGGTGGCACGGCCCGAACCGGATCCGTCCAACCCTCGGACCGTTCCCGGGCCCATATGATACGAACCGGCGGCCCGACCGGGCCTAGGCCCGGCCCGTGTCTATGACTAATTAAAACGCCAAAACTCCCATGAGGCAGCAATTGCCGCATATGATACACTTATACACACTTTGAAGAGTTAGATTCTGTGATCTTACCATTTAGATATGCGGCAACAATGGTTTGAATATGATACACATACAAAAACACATACAAAATTTTGGGTGTAATTTAAAAAGAAAAAAGAAGAAGTCTTGAAGTATACATAAATAATATTATTGGGCCTAGAAAATACTCTACCTTAGCGGTTTAAACTTTTTACTGGCCTCTTTTGGACATCCTAGCTAAAACTTCTCATTTCTATTTTACAAAATAACTAGTAGTCTTAAATGATAAAGTAATAGCCAAATATGAGAAATAGTAAACCTATAACATCATTCCCATCATTCACAATGGAGTCAAAGACATTATTTTTTGACTTAGGAATATAATGGAATAAAGCAAAATGTCTCACTAATCTGTCTGTGTTTCTTTGTTATGAAGCAGGGGTCAGTCAATGCAATTTTCGACGCGGTTTTTACTTTGTGTCATCCGGAAACAGTCTCTATGTGCTTTAGTACAGAGGTAAGACTGCGTACATCCGACCCCTCTTACCCCACCTCAGGTGGGAGCCAATGCAGCACTGGTGTAATGATGATGATGAATGAAACCTATAACATCAGTGTCATCATCAATGTTATATACACTCTAATGCATGAGTTCTTATAAAAAGTGCACTTCTCATGAAAAGTGAGAAAGATCGGGTGCATCCAATTTATGACAAATGACTCAAAATATGCCAACAATGCATTAAAAGAGATAAAATATGCAGTGACGTATTCGTAATTAGGTCTAATTTCCCTTCATTTTAAAAGTGCATCATTTGAAGTCAACAATGCATCGTGCATGACAATAAGTGCAACTAGGGGTGGGCATAACGGTTCGGTTTGACCGAACCGAACCGTACCAAACCGAATTAAACCGAACTGAAACCGAACCATTTGTAATTTGGTTTGAGTTTGGTAGTGTTCCTCCCAACCCGTATTAAACCGAACCAAACCGAACCGAAATCATAAAATCGAATAAAATCGAATAAAACCGAACTAATCTAAAAATGAAATAATTTCTTATTTTTTTAAAAATAACAAATCAAAACCAACTTACACCAAACTAAACCAAACCAAAATATAAGATTTCTCTCATTAATTTGATTGATGTTAATCTTTTTGAAACTTTAATTCTTTAATTTTAGTGTCCAGGACTAGAGTTTACTACAAAAGTTACATTCACAACTATAACAATTATAGTGGTTTAAGTAGATAGTATTTAACTATAATTTATTATCTACTACTACTATATATTTGGTTCATTACTTATTACAAGCACCAATTTTGTTTTTATTTCAGCTTTATATATAATTTGATTCATTCCCGTTGTAGTTACTTACAAATGTGTCATGCTTATATATTTTTGGTTCATATATGTTTTGTTACTGTTTGCAAATTTATATCTAACATTATATTTGGTTCATTACTATCGCTTCTTGGTTCATTATTTTGAGTTTTTTTTTCAATCCAAACCTTGATACTTTGGTAAACCGAACTCCAAATCGAACCGAATCATACCAAACCAAAACCAAACTGAAACTTAATCGGTTTGTATTTGGTACATTTTCTATCAAACCGATTAAACCGAAACCGAACCGAAACCGAAGAAACCGAAATGCCCACCCCTAAGTGCAATCGGTCACACTTTGCATGAGACCGCAACTTTTTATTGGAACTACTCCTTATACTCTAATTACCTTATTTAATCCAATATTTATTAATGAGAAGCTTAAGTCGTGACGGTTAGAGAGTAGTATTAATTTTCCCGGTAGTATTGCAGTTGCCCTTGTTGCACCCCTAGGGCCACCCTGATAAGACTTTGTGTGCACATATAAAAGGTCTGATAGATAAATTTTATTGGGATCAATTTTATTTTATCTCTCTTTTTTGTACATATATTAGAATAAGACTACTTAAAGACATAATGCAATAGGAGGCAAGCATAGAGGGCGTGGGCGTGAAACCCAAGCGGTGGAGCAGAGTATGGAGGTAGAATTTTATTTGATTGTTTGTAAAATTTTCAA